TCCCTACGCAAGGCGTCGCGATGAATCAAACTGAAGTCTTCTATCGGACTTCCGTTCGCTGTAACATCATCGGTTTGACCGGTGGCGCAGGCAATCCCTTTGCCTTTTTCCTCACGAGATAATCGTCCCGACGAAGCCATAACTCGAAACAGAGTACTTAGAGAGAGAAAGCTAAAAGTAGAGAGAAGGGAGAGAAGAAGGTACCTGAGTTTGCAGAGAAGAATAATGAAAGAAGGAGAGAATCTACCTATTTATAGCAAAGTCGAGAGGCACGATTCTCTAAGTGCAATTAATGCATTTAAACGGGCCTAAATAAGCCCATTAACTGCAAAAACCCAGGAGATTATCCAAGATCTATTAACCCTTAACCTGATCCAGTTTGGTTAAACCCTAGATACCGGTTTACCCCAACCGAGATTAAACCAGAGCTAAAACAAGCAGCGATTGAGATTGAACCAGAAGACGGTTAAGAGGCTGAATGTGCCTCTCAACTCAGAAGATCTACTCAGACTAAGTGTTGCTCCATGAGTGATAACTTAGCTAATGATTCAGATGTCTTTATGAAGCAATAGGAAACACACTAGCCGCGAGACTAGACGCGCTCAAGGTGTCGCCTAAACGCACCCTCACACGCATCAACTCGGTCATACTACTAAATAAGCTCAACATGACGCCTTTACGCGACAACATGAGACTTCCTAGTCGCGAGACTAGACACGCCCAAGTTGTCGCCTAGATGCTCTCGCGACTGACAGGCTAGTCGCACTACCAGGCAAGCCCAAACCGGCGCATTTACGCGACAACAGAGGATGTCCTAGTCGCGAGACTAGACCTGCTCGATGTGTCGCCTAAACACGCTCATGATCGACGCTCTAGTCGCGAGACTAGACCTGCTCGAGTTGTCGCCTAAACGCGCTCATGGTCAACGTCTCAGTCGCGCGACTAGACCCGCTCGAAGTGTCGCCTAAACGTGCTCACGATCGACGTCCTAGCCGCGAGACTAGACCTGCTCGATGTGTCGCCTAAACACGCTCATGATCGACGCTCTAGTCGCGAGACTAGACCTGCTCGAGTTGTCGCCTAAACGCGCTCATGGTCGACGTCTCAGTCGCGCGACTAGACCCGCTCGAAGTGTCGCCTAAACGTGCTCACGACCGACGTCCTAGCCGCGAGACTAGACCTGCTCGATGTGTCGCCTAAACACGCTCATGATCGACGCTCAAGTCGCGCGACTAGACCTGCTCGAAGTGTCGCCTAAACGTGCTCATGATCAACTTTCCAGCCGCGAGACTAGACACGTTCAAGGTGTCGCCTAAACACGCTCATGCTCGACGTTCTAGTCGCGAGACTAAACATGTTCGGGGTGTCGCCTAAACGCGCTTGTGATCGACGTTCTAGCCGCAATACTAGACGCGTCGGAGGTGTCGCCTAAACGTGCATTCTTGCAAGTTTTCCCATCTGATCAAACCTGATCCATAAATTCACTTAGAATCCTACGGATTCA